TTGAATATTATGAACTAAATGTAATATTATGTTGTTCTGTTGGATATTTGTTGTAAGAAACTCTGTTTTATTTTGAATGAGAAGAGAATTTCATAATTATATTTTCTATACTTTATTTATTTCAAATAAGTTTGTGATGTAGAAACAATGTTCTCGGTTCCTTATAAAAGGGGTCGTGACAAAAGTAATCACTCCAACAAAGTTCCTCCAAGGACCAAGTGAAAGTAATTACTTCCAACATTGAAAGTAATCACTTTATAGCCATTTCTAAGAGGCAAGTCTGAGCGTGTTTACTCTCATCATTGATAGTGAACACTACTAAGAGCATTGCAGAGAAGTGAAACTACGCGTAATCATTTTCACCATCCATAGTAATTACACACAAGCTTATCTGACTAATGAAGTTGCGCGTGTTTACTCCTAGTAGTCATAGTAACTACACGCTTTATGTGTAATCACTTTCACTAGTGAAAGTGATCACTCCAGAGAGGAAGAAATGCAATTGACATGTGCATAACCACTTTCACTACTCATGGTGGTTACTTCAAGAAGCGTTACCTTTACTATAAATGGATTTTCACTTATAGGATAGAGATCTTTTTGCCATTTTATTTGTACTTTCCTATTACACACTTTGCAGAGTATTAGGTCAAAACTTTGGGTGGCTATCAAGAGTTTATTTTTAGGATTCTTTGTTCTTCTTTCTTTCACTTACTTCAATTTTTCTTGGTATTTGTTGAATATTATTCCTTTGTAATGTTGAACCCCATCTACATGGATAGCTAATTTTTACTTACTAATTACTCGTAAGTTCATAATGGTTTTTGAAATCTTGATGTGATTATCAATATGAATTTTCTTCTCATTGAATTTCATTTCCCCTAATTTCTTGAGATTTGAGTTAAGAATTGGATGGAAATTGTTGCTTAATCAATCTAAATTTCTTTCTTAACAAGGGTTTCAAAACCCAGTTATCCTAGATTGGGTCCTAAGTTTGCTTAATTCTAAGGATAAAAAATTAGAGCTCATGTGATTTGCTTAATTTTGCATGAGTTTAGGGTTAATTGATACTTGTTATAATTAACTAAATTCTAGGAAGAGATAAGTTACTAAATTTTAGTGGATTTATGATTGAACTAGTATGGATAAGCTGGGGATTAATACATTTTATTAATTGATTTTCTCAATTTAAATTTTCACTTGAATGTTTGATAACCTAAAAGTTATAACCCCTCCCCTCTCACTTTTATTTTCTGAACTTAATGCACATCTCGTATCCAATGTTCACAAGAGGATGACTTAGGTTAATTCAACCTAGTACTACATTAATTTTACTTGTATTTTGATAGAGGTAACGACAATCTTTTTATCAGTTTCTCAAATGTCGATTTTTAGCCAAAGCAGTATCTCTTTCATTCACTCTCATGCTCATTTCTCTACTAGCAGCATCAAAACATGCCTGAACTTTTGCACAATGTTTACGTTTAAACATTATTTTATCAACTACTTTTTCATATTCTTATCTTTTTTCACTTCTCTCCCTTTTTAAAGCAGCATAGGTATGGTTAGATTTCAAAAGTTCTTGCTTCATATAGACATTTTTATAGTCATTCTTTGTAATCTTTAACTAACATGATTGCTTATTATTTAATTATTTTAATCTTTTCCTTTAGTATAGTACTTATTTTAAAAACTTTTATGAAATGAAATTTTATTTGTATTATATTTAGGTGTATTTTGTTTTATATCTAAAATAATATTATTGAGTATTCATATTTTCTATTTAATAAATCATATTTTCCATTTTTTATTATATTATTCATGATATTATAATTCTTGATATTTAGATGATATTGTTAAATTTTAAATTTTAATTTTGTTTACGCAAAAATATATCCAAACAAAATTGAGTATTTACGACAATAATCAAAGGTTAGCACTATGATGGTTTTTATCAACTATAAAACTTTTTATGCATAAGAAATTAATATTTGCTATACAACAGAAGTTATAGAACCTATAACAGATTGTAGGAAATATAGTGAGAACATTTAAATTTAATTATCAAAGGAAAACTCCAACAGTTATCAATTTGTATAGCCTACAAAATTTTTCCCATAACAGGATTACTACCATTTGTATTAATTAGAACATAAATCACCAACCGTTTTGGTTACTAGGCATTTTTTTTTGTTAGTGATTCAATTTGATTAAAATGCTAATTAATCATGTTATATAAATATCAGATTGTTTGAAAAGTTTGAGTTTGATCTTTTTTCTACTTTATATATACTCACTATCTTTCATTTAATAATATAATCTTACATTATCTTTTCTATTGATAATTTGTTCAGTAAATTGACCCAATTTAGGTTCCGAGCTTGTGTAAGGGTACAATTAGAGTTGACAAAAAGGATTTTATGTCCCATTCGGGTGGCCCATTGTACGTGGTGGACCCTAGCAACTTGGGGCAAAATAAATAAATAAATAATTAGATTCAATTCAAGCTTACAAAAGTGATGCTTAAGCTTAAGCAAGCTCAAATTTGTTTGGGCTTTTATTTAAGTGTTTGTGAACCTAACTTGTATCAAGTTAAAAGAACTTTGATTTAATTTGGCAAAATCAGAAGTTTAAACCCTATATATTATAGTGTGAATTTAGGCCAAGACAACCATTTTGTTAGCTTTAGGAGCTCTCAATAAATAACAATAAACAAAATTCTGAACACCAACTGCATTTTTCAACTAACAGGTTCAAGCACGAGTAAGTAATAGGAGAAAAAAATTAAAAATTGTATATAGGTAACACAACTAGGGAAAGAAAAAAAAAAAAGTAAGATACAACAAATAAGGCGTAGCTTCTACTTCTACATCTTCCCACTCATTCTCTCCCTTCGATATATCCCTTCACCTAGATTGTTTGCCTTGTGTTTTCTTTCCATATTTATATATTTGCATTTTTACTCACATGGCAATCTCGTAATAATCACCCTCCCTTTCTTTGTGTTGATGGCTATTCTTTACTGAGCACTTTGTTTTTGAATGTTCCAAGACAAAAGATTGCATAAAAGTTGTGTTTCCATCCATAAGACCAAATGTTAACCTAAGATTTTTTTATGACTAAATAAACTCTCAAATTAGTCTCTCATGTAGTAATAATTGTGCATATCAATCCTTTACTTATTTAAATTGGCCTGCTAGTCTTTTAACACATTAGTTTGTCATGTTACTAAGTTTTTGCCATTAACAAACACATGAAAAATGTTAAGTTTTAACACTAAGTGACACTTAAATGTTAGAACGAAATCATTGTACACATCCACACTCTCTCTCTTGGTACATGGTGCAAGTTATGGAGGCTCACAGTTCTCTGGTGATCTCTAAAGGTTGAGTGTTCCTGTAATAAATACTTCAAAGTCTAAGTTAATAGAAATTTGGCCAGAGTAAGGGTATAGGATTATGAGATAGTATGTCTTAGCCAAAGAGTTCCTCTCATATATATATATATATCATAAAGTTATAGTTCTCAAATAGTGGAAATATGCTTATGTAACTATTGGTGTTCAGGATTGCCACCAAATTTGAGATAAGCCTAAGTCAGTGGGTTATTTGAGATGGTTAGGTAGTCTATGAACAACATAAAGTTTATGGCTGCGGTCAGTGGCGAGTTTTCCAAATCGAGTATTTGACTCCAAATCAGTTGTCCCCGAGCTTGGTCTTACTATGAAGTGGGAAGGTGGAGGTGAGAGTGAGGAGGTTGAGTTCCCTTGATTGTCTAATTAGAAGAAATATGTAATTAATCGGTTAGGGTACTTTTAGGGTGGTTGGCCCAAGTTGAAAGTGTGGAGGGCAATTTGGTAGTGTCATGTTTGGGGTGTGTGGTCGTTCAAATATTAAGGAGTCACTTGAATGTTTCATGTGTATAGTTCATGTTTGAATTTTAGGAGACAATTAGAGTGACAAGGCGTGACATGTCACCAAACCGTTGGCATAGCCATCTTTGTGTCACGTGCGTATTAAATGCGCAATCATGGTTTGATGTTAGCATTCTGTGGACCTGGGAAGTTATATTTGTGTTCTTTCTTTTTATCTTCAAGAAATACAACTATTAGCTTTTCTTTTGGAATCCTAATTTTCTTCTCCTTTGAATTTGTAGCCATTACCGTTTGGTTTCTTCCTTCTTTAAGGTGGGTGTTTATCTTCCATTATTGATGGTATCTTTTATCTTATTAGTGATTTTTTTAATCCATTTTCTTCTGTTTTTTCTTCTTCCTTTACACATTCTATTTTTTCTTCATGCTATCACCAACATTCCTTCTTCCTTGATTTCATCATTGTGAGCTTTGTCTCCATTTTTTCTATTTTTTGAGTTAGTGTTGACTAACTTTGGTATAATTCATTATTATTCTCATGAGCTTTAAAGTTTTTCAAATTTGAAACAAGGTAATTGTACCAACAGAGCCAAACTACGTCAAAATGCAGCAAAAGGAGGCGGCAATTAAGAAAAAATAATATTTTTTCTTAACTACTTGTTTCAAAAAACAAAGTTGGTCTTAGAGGGTGAATGAAAATTTTCTTAAACCAAAACAGCACAAGTATATTTTCAAATACTAAATTGTATATTCTCCACTTGGTAAAGGAAAATTTCAACCCCCACAGCTTTCTCTTATATGTAAATCTTTCCAGCTAGTTTTTCTTTCTAAATTTTCACATGAAGCTATCAAATTTTCTAATAGACGGACAATGGCAGTTGCTAAAGCGAGCAATCATATAATTAGTAATGGCAATATATTTAAAATTTAAGTAGATATACAAATGAGCCTTAAAAGTGACATTTTGTCTTTGATCCTTAAAAGTTTACTTTATACAATATAGTCTCCAAATGTGTAAAGTTACATTTCGGTCCTTTCCTTACAAAAATTTATGCAGTGAGTAAAATATGTGCAAAATTAAGATTTTAAAAATAAAATTATGCAGTGACAGTTGCGAAGACCAATTGTGAAATAACATATTAAAGAACTATATTATAAAAGACAACTTACAAGGATTAAAAGTAAACTAAGTGCTGCTGTCAAGGAGTAATTTGTGTATTTACTCATGAAATAGAAGCAAGACACAAGAGACAAGACTTCGATCTTCTACTTTCACTCATAAATTTTTAGAAACAGGAATTCGGTCAGATACAACCATCAAATTCAACGGCATGAGGAACTTGTCTTCAACTCAACGTATAAGTGATTCATTGACACAACAAATTACTCATGCGACTCGGAAGAATGACAAAAGATGTTTGTGACAGTCTACACAATCAATTTGCCACTCCAACTTAGAATCATATATGTAAACTGAATCATCATATTGAAAAGAAAAGAAAAAGAGAAAAAGAACTTGACAAGCACTAGAAATAAATAGCTAAAGGACTAATATAACAAGAAGCTCGTCTTAGAAATCTGCAAAGGCAGCAAAAAGATCACCATTGATGTAATCATTGTCGACCAAGCTGACCAAGAAGTAGCTGCTCCCCACCTGTGACACAAATAGAAAGAATTATCAAAGCTCTACAAAACAGCAAAAAACAAAAAAACACAGCACTCCCATCAAATACGTAGTATTTCTGTTTAAGGCAGCGTGCAAGGTTTTACAGGAACGTAGCTTTAAAAACCAACCTCTTCAACCAATTTCCTGGATGCATCACCCTCAGGGTACAAGCTTGCCCATCCTCTTGACCAAATTTCAAATGCCTCATCCTTCCATACATTGAAGCTGATGGGATCTACAATGGTTGGTTGTATTATCTCCTTAGCTGGGAAGACACCCCATGTCACAGCATTCACATCACTTTGACTCACATTAGATCTCCACCTCCCATCTTTATTCACAGCCATATAAGTTAGAGACATTCGATCCTTGCATTTATCAACAAGTGCATCCAGTTTTTCCTTAGAGCAGAAGAACTCCACATATGCCTTCTGATAAACGTACCCACCAGGTCCACCCCAGCCTAGGCCACATACCAAAACAAAGGATTTAGCATATCTCATATCCACCAAAAGATGGACAAGAATACCAACAGTAATAAATTGCACTGGACATTGTCTTCAGGAAAATCCCAATATAAATTATGTATCCCTATTTTGTTTTCAGTACTCTTCAATCTTCATTATTCATTTTACAAGAAAGTGAAGTCCATATGAAGTGGTATAGCCAGACCTAATTCAATACTGTTGATTCAAAAAAAAAAAAAAAAAAAAAACTCATTTAAAATAGTCAGCTTAAAGTAGTTTAGGCAATCAACAAAATGAATTTAAAAGCCTATGCATCACATTTAAAATAGTGTAATTTTATACCAACAAAAAATAAATTGAAAAAAAAAAAAAGTAGCTGTAAGTTAACCATTAGCATAGCCATCAGATTTGGCAGACCAGTATTGACGAACCAACAAAACACAAGGAAAAACAATTGGAATGGAATTACAAAACAAAAGAAACTATAGAGACAAATAACAAATTGCCCACTAGCGGTTGTATTGTATCCCAAATTGAGGCACCTTTCTAACTTGTGGTTATTCATTAGCATAGACCAGCTGATTACCAGACAGGTATGCAGGAAGCTGAACGTTGGGATAAATGGCTTTAATAACAATTAAAAATTCTGGATTAGATGCTTTGAATTTAGATTTACTTTTATGGAATTCCTTATTTAATCCAAGTCACATGATTCAATATTCAGGTAATTGAAGACAAGGTGCAAATCAAACAGCCAGTGTTAAGGGTTAACATGTCTACTAATCATTGGCAAGAATATTTCAAACCAACGATACCCCACTGAAAGACCAAAGCAAAGGCGGTCCACCTAACTGTAAAACCTTTAAACTAGTGGTAAGTAATAGATAGAAAAGTAAAAATTATCAAAGTCTAGAGTTTGGGGAAGGAATTGAAATCATGCCATGACATTTACCATTATTAATGACCACGAGATATGGTATTAGAAATAAATCATGTTTAACTCAACCCCAAAAGCTAGTAGAAGATTACCTAGGTCTTTTAAGGAATATTTTGACTATATTCTTAGGCTTAGATATCTTGGCAGTTGGCATGCACCACTCATACCCAGATTTGACATCTAGAGCATAAAGTTTATAAGATTGGACATCTATGGGTAGCCTAATAACAAGACTAGATAGGCTCTAACAATATACTAGAAATGGATGTGGTTGGGCCTAACTCAACCCCTGTAAGCTATCTCAAAGGGAGATAATTGCCCGAGTCTTGTATGGAATACTCTGGCCATTTTCTAAATATTGCAGGATATCTTAACAATATGCATAAATCAGGACAGGAGGGGGAATGCTTCCTACATCACGCCATACATTTGACCATACCAATTGTTCAAGACATAACTGTGGCTATCTATAGTTACATCCTGCTACAATTACCTAGCACTTGCTTCTAACTTATTCCAAAATGTAATGTTTAGAAATATTCAACGATCTAACTTGTATCACAAAGTTAGGCCATCTATCTATAGCTAGAACAAATAAGAATGCTCTAATCTTATGTCCAGAAAATATCATGCATGGATAAAATCAACTTCTTTTACACTCACCTACAGTAGGAGAATCTGACTTTTCCCCATTGACAGCTGGCTGGCTATTGATGGTGAGGAATCCCTTGGTGTTAATCTTCTCCAACTGCTCATTTATGATCTTTGTCTCTGGCTGAAGACCATCAAGTTCTGACCAAGGATTGCTTCTCAGCTTTCCAAGGCAATACAGTCTAAATCTCTGATATGTAATAAAAGGCATAAATTTAGTTGACATGTAAGAATACTCCAGCAACATCCCAAGTACAGTAACTCTACCTCATAAATATCTTCAACACTTCGCAAGGGAACTGCCCATTCTTCAGTAAGCTTCTTGTCCCGTGAACGTGGCCGCATAAACTGCAGAAAGAAATGATCAATTATAGCAGCAGCAGAATTAGAAGACTTGGCAATTTCTAAAGCTCCAACGTAGAGTTTAATTTTTCTTCCTTCTTTTATTTTCCTTATCTTTTATTCCATTTACTAATTAGATTGTGCATACAGCCTTCCTTTTAATATTATTCTATTCATTTTTTCCAAAAGTATAGAGTATATACAGCCTCCTATCACAATAAAAAATATGCCACCCAAACCCGTTTTCATTGTAGGGCACCAATAGCATTCATATTAAGCCCAAGGTTTTTTAATGGGGATCCACAATATTGCAGTGTTGGAGGTTTCCACAATCACATCACAATCAAAATAGCAGCTGTGTCAACCAAATTTGTCCACAACTTTCACAATTTCAGCAATCTCTCAACACAATTTAGAACCTTGATATTAACCTATTTATTGTAGGAGAATGCAGATTTTACACATATAACATCCATCACTACACTGACTACTATATTTTTACATTGTTTTAGTTTCTGCATCTTAAAAGTAGATTGCTCTGTCTACAATGCAATAAAATGCATTAAAACGAATGTTTCAAATCACAGAAGTATAATGCATTTAAATAATTAAAATAACTACAATCATTCATTTTATTTATTTTGCCTACACTGGTAATCACTGAAATCTTGTTAACAATTTATTTCAGATAAATGTTCTATTATTTAAATAGTTGATTTTCTGCCAATAGGTATGGAGTTTAAAATCATCAGTTAAAGAAAATAAAAGAGGAAAATACACAAATTTAAATCACTAAGTAACCATGTGCACCTGATAATCAGTTAATGCACCATATGATGGGTTACAAGAATCACCCCAACGCCCATGTGGGTATTGATCCCATCCTATGGTCCTTGAGATGTAGCTTTTTGGACGATTTGCCCTATGATAGTTGCATAAAGAAATAAGAAATCGTTCAAACACAAACACCCTTCTTATATTTTGCAACAAGACAAGGCTATTGTAAAGGCAACATACCAAAAGATTGGACGGACATCTTCTCTAACACGGAAGACATTTGTTGGGCGTCGCCAAGGTAAGGACCTAGAAATTTTGGCCTCTTCAATTAAGCCAAGGTTCTGCCAGCAATAACATTAATATCAACTTCAAATTTCAATGAAGTCTTTCAAAAATAACATTAAAAATATACATATCACAAGCCAGAATATCACATGAAATAGGAGACAACCATTAGTATTGCTAATGCTGATTTCTCCATATTTAGTGTATAAAGATGCACTGTCTTAATTCCATGAGCTAAAATCTTTTTACACATTTCAGTTCCCAGGTGAATTCCATAAGCCTTGACAGCTTCTTCATTGTCCTTGATAGGCTCTAAAGCAGCAATAATATCAGCTGGTATCTAGATTATGTCATTGAAAATGAAACATTATATTAGAGTCCATGACACTTGACTAATATAACAAATTGGTAAAAAGCAAATGCATGTGACTAAACAGAGATATATTGTGTGAAAACTTTCATTACGAACTTATGTATTATTTCAAGCACTGACTGGAAATGATCGTCAATTGAATATTATTAACACATATAAGATATAAGATTTCCAAAGGTAGCAGTTATATTATTTCTCCACCGTCATTATCCAAGTATCAGATAGTCCACCTAGTGGAAGGTTATTCTATCAACTGAAAACAAACATCAAAAACCTCTTCAAAAAATGATATATCAAAATCATATTCATAGGGATTAAAGTACTACTCCTCTACTCTTTCAGCATTTTCCTAAACCTTAACTGATAGCTTTATGCATGAGCAGAGTGCAGAATAGATATCAACGCATGTTGGGTTAAGGCTCTAGTAGTTAACAATAAAATTTGCATACTATCAATCTAATTATAAATTTTTACCTGAAAATGCAACCTCTATACACTTGTTGCCGTTTGATTTTTATTAATATTCTCATGTTCCAAAGGGCACAATCGATATTTTTCTTCCAGCATACATGGAGACAAAGATAATATTCAACATCCAAATAATTTTGTATGCATTCTAACCCCCCACCCCCAACCCTGTTCCTAAGAGGTCCTTGACATTATTAAACTTAAACATTTAGAATATTTAATACTAGGTCTATACAATTTTTTTTCTTACCTTTGTTTTACAAAAACCAGTCATGCGGAGAAAGCCCTTGTAATTATTGATGGGCATAATTCCAGGTATAATAGGACAAGTTATTCCAATTTGGCGGCAGTCATTCACAAATTTGAGGAATATATCCGTATCATAAAATAACTGGGTGACAATCAGCTCTGCTCCAGTATCAACCTATAGAAAGAACATAAACTCAGAAAATGAGGTTAAAAAAGAGGCAGAAAGACAAAGAAAAAATTCCTTGCAAAATGACCCTTCTTGGCCCTCCCTTCCTTGCAAAGCCAAATTTATCAATAAATGCAGCATTTCTCATCAATATTTTTTTTCCTATTTGTTTAAGGATTCTAATCACGGATTAAAAGAACTCCCTAAAATTATGTTCTAGAACTAATAATGAATAAAACTTTTACACATAAAGTAGGTGGATTCTAATTAAGTGACAAGACCTTGCTCTTCAGGTAAGCAAGATCATTTTGATAACCTTCCAGTGTAGCCACCCCATCACTTCCTATAACATCTGGATGCGCCTCTGAAGAAAAAGAAAATAAATTATATGAGCAAATGATGGTGGCACAACAAACAGAAAGCGCCCAAGAGAAAGTGATAAAAATAATGATAATAAAAAGCAAGAAACCTGGATAACCAGCGACTGTAATGCCAAAATAGTCACCATATTTGGCTTTGATATGTTTCACCTGCAAAAACATCAGCAGCCATAAATTAGGACTCAAGACCAGGCAAGTGGCCAAACAACATCAACAGCTAGTATCAAATTTTCTGAAACTAAGCTTAAATGAGAATGTTAAGATGGATGTGAGCCACATGAGAAAAGAATTGTAAGAAGTAATTATAAATGATGAGATATTGGAGTAGCACGTACTGAAGAGAAAATGACAAAAAATTGATTAAGGTGAAGCAAGCCATTGGAGACAAATTGCAAGAAGTAACTATAAATGACAAGATATTAGAGTAGCACCTATTGAGGAGTAGATGACAAAAAATTGATTAAGGTAATGCAAAGCAATCCATTGGAGACAAATTGCACAGAGTAGAGAGAGAGAGAGAGAGAAAGAGATTGGTGAATTGCATGGTTTTTAGCCCTATGAAGATGGGTAGAGAGACCTAGAAGATCTATGGAGGAAATTAGTAAAAGAAATTCCTTGGTAAATAATATCTTTAAGAATTTGACTTTTAACTGAGCTCAATGAGGTTGTATGATTCATGAAGCCAACCTCACCTAATGAGATAAGGCTTTGTGATTGTTATTCTAAGCTTGAAGTTCTACCATCACAATGAATGCAGTATAATGTTCCATAACTAACCAGAAAATGTTGTCTAAGTATTTGAAAGTTTGATTAGAAAAAGCTATATGATTCTTTGTATTTTCAGGTATATTTCCAATGTTGGGAGCTGTAGTGATATAAAAATATTTCCCAACGCAAATAAAAACATCTCCTCACCGAGAGGAAACAGCATCTGTTTCCAGGAAGTCATTTGGCATAACAAATGAGACACTGAATAGTTAAAAGAAAGTCAGTCTGTCTACAATTAAACAAAAATACTTTCGACAAATATAGGTTAAACAAAATTCTACTCACAAAGTCCTTCCATTCTCAAAAAGATATATGAAGTACAAGAACTACATACTTGCTCAGAGGTGAAAATTAAAATTATAAAATTGACAAAGAGAGAATTGGAGATGAGATACCAGGTCGCGTGCGCAAGCAAAGCCACCTTCGACCTGGACAAATTTGTCCTGACCATGTGGAGGATCACCTCGAAGAGCAAGCACATTTTGAAGGCCATTGGACTTGATGGTCTGGAGAGCATGGTCAATCTTCTCAATAGGCATGTTGGTGCAGGTTAAGTGCATCATGGTCTCCACACAGATAATGTTCTGCATCTTGTTGGCAATTTCCAATGTTAGATCAGCCGTTGACCCTCCAGCACCCCAAGTGATGTCACAAAATGAAGGATTGTGAGCCACCATGCGCTCCATTCTCTCAAATAGATTATCCACCCCATCTTCAGTCTTTGGCGGGAAGAACTCAAATGAGAACACCACCCTGTTTGAATCAGTCGCTGCTGCTTCCCGTATCTTCTCTATCACCTTCATCTTTTATCCCTGTGCCCACCAACCAACCAACCAAAGCACTAGATCAGCTAGATCCAACAATTAACTACTCAATTCACTTTCCAACCACATCAAGGTTAGGTTAATATATATAATTCGTTAGCAAATTCAAAGTGCCTGTAGATCTCAGCCCAAAAGCAATAATTATGCAGAGAGTTGTAGGTTAAGGTTCTAGATCGGATTTATGAACTGCAAATAAACGATACCATTAACAATGGCCTGAAATTAAAAAGAGGTAAAAACGCAACACAACGCAACGCAACACTTGAAAGGACTCACTGACTATAAGACCAATCAATAATTAACCTGAAATGAACGAATGAGAGGAATACAAGGAGATGTGGTACCTTTATGAGGTAAAGTGAGGTAGGAAGAGATACTGATGCAGAGAGCAAGGCGCTCAATGTAATGTGGAGACCCGTATTCTGGTTATTTATAGACGAGAGACGGAGGTAGATCTCGAGGATGGTTGGTTGGTGGCTACCAGCTCCCTGTTCAAATTTTCTCCCTGTCATAATATATATTTTTTTATTTTCATTTCACAATTTTAGCGCTTATAGTTCAGCTTAAGCATTTATTTGGTTTTGTTTATATTCAAGTAATTAATTAATAAAATTTCACTTAAAAGAAATATTATTATAGTTTTATTGTAATAATTTTTTAAATTTTAATAAAATTTTATTATAATAATAAATACTTTTTTCATTAAAATATTTTATTATTAATTTTAAAGTTGAGTTTAATATTTTTTATTTTTATCATAAAAATTGTTTGAATACAAAAATAGACACTAATAATTTTTTATATATATTTTATGGTATTTTTTAAAAAATTATATACAATGTTACGCATAATATAAATTTTAATAGTTTAAATATTAGAGCTGATGGTAACAACTGGGGCAATTATTTTCCACTTAAATAAATTATAAATCATGGAACAAAAAGTTGGAGATATTTCTATTTTCATCGCTTTAATTAAAATGGGTTCAGCTAGCACTGTCTTTGAAATAAAATTTGAAGCGTTATCAAAAGTGATTAAAATAATAATATTAAAATTAAAGGAAAAAAAAAACATCCACAAGTGTGTTTAGACTATTTACGAAAAAGATCCGAATAAAACTTTTTTATTTCTTTAAATTGTAATTTCATAATTATTTATATCAATTACTGTATTTTTTTATTTTAATGTTAAATTAATATTTACTTACATTTGTTTTAACTTTTATAAAAGATTAATTTTTACTTATTAAAAAACTATTGATTGCTGACTCAAAAAAGTAAAAACTTGCATAAATAACTAAATTATACGGATGAATATAAAAGAAAAGGATCAAAATTTATTCATGTTTTAAATAAATTTAATTATTGTATAATATATCAATATCTATAGTGGTGTAAAAGTAATTCTCTCGTCAGGTTAGCTTTTTTTCTAATAACAATATTATTGTATTAAATAAAAATACAAAATAATATTTGATGCATAGTGACTTGTCGAGATGGGTGCCTCGTTAACACTGGGGTCTTCAGGTGTTAGTTGACAATAACTTTTAAGTTGTGAGCTAGTTCTAGGGAAGGTGTTTTTTAATATTCAAATTAGTAAAAATTTGGTTAGGGTGAAAATATATTAGTGCATAGACCTAATAACTATTTAATCCAAAAACACATATCTCATTGGCATTGATGGCTATATTTAGGTTTCTGATGTTAGTTTATCATAATTTCACGGCAATTCTTAATATGTGTGGATAATTATTTAAAAATAATCAAAATCATATATTTAACTCTAAATAACTTTAACTTCAAATTAAGATTATAAAATCTATCTTAATTTGCTATCTCTATTTTCAAATGATAACTTTTTAAAAGTACCTTCATAGCCTATAGTAAGGAGGAGTGATCTCAAAATTAAAGGCTATGCTATATGTTTCAAATCTCATATAAAATATATTCCTATAATTTTATTTTAATTGACAAGGGAAAAATTAATTATAGAAAGTAAGAAAAATAATAATCCTTATACTTTTCCTTAAAAAATGTTTTGACTTGCATCATTAATTTAATATCTAATTAGTGGTGTGTCTAATTATTTAGACAAAAATAAGTAATAACCATATTTTTTTAATTTATTAATTTTACTAATATTTTTTACATGTATTACAGGTATTTTATAATTATCAGGAAACATGTAGATCAATTAGTAGATAATTATTTTGACTTAAATTGTGGTCTCTAATTCAAATATCAATGAATGCAATTATATTAAATATTTGGAGAATGAGTTTTGTCTTCTAGTTATTAGAGTACTTTAAATGGTTCTTCAAGACAATATAAAATTGCTCTTTAAATCTTTCTTAGTGCAATTATATTATCAACTTTGTAATGATGATTAGAAGAGTTTGGAAAAGATAAGTAAAGGTGATGAGAGAGAAGATAAAGAAAAAGAAATTTATGACACTGATATATAATTATTTTCTAAAATAACTTTAAAGAGCATTTTATACATGAAATCACTCTACAAGTAAAGATTATAGAACAATTATATTATTCTACTTTAGAAGGTGACTGCTCCAAAAGGTTTAAAATGGTGCAGTAATTGTACATTTTTATGTATAGTGTTGATAGTGTCTTCTTTAGGAAAAAATATAACTCAATTTAAAAGTGATAAGAGTAAATTTGAAGTAAAGAAAAAGGAAAAAATAGAAAGTTGAATTTAGTTATAAAAAGAATGACACACAATAAAAATTTTTTTACATGAGTTTAGGACAAATGGGCACTTAATGAGCCTAATGTTGCACCACATAATAATAATAATGACCAATCATAAAAATCAAAAAAATTGAAGACACCTAAATGTTTCACTATGAATAAAATAAAACATCAATTAAAGAATTTTATCCTAAATGTTACAACTAACTATTTTTCAAAATTTTAAATATATAGTTTCTACTTCCTATTTTCCTAAACACTAACACCCAAGTTGTCATTGCAAAAGTAAAAGAAATTACAATACATTATCCAATTACAAAAATTTTAGTGTTTCAAGTTTTAAATTTTTATTTTTTCAACCAATATTCATCTTTCAATATTTTCATATGTCAACCATTATATCTTATAAGTCTTCAACAACAATACTACTATTTTCTAATTTCACCCAATAAAAGTGTCAACAATGTTGGCCACTTTGCACAATAAAAAAAAATCACATTAAATTATTGAAAGAAAAAATATAGACTATTTTAAAAATAAATATTAATGTAAATACATTATCCTATAATTAGGACACCCATAGAATAAATCTACTAAGATTTGTAATTGTTTTTTGTATTCTCATCATAGTTTTCAAATCATAAAAATAAATTTTTCACCTACCGTTTGTGAAATACGCACTCATGTATCTAGGAGATAAACTTATACTATAGCTTAATAATGATAGAGTTTATTTTCACTCCTAACCATCTGATTCCACTATTAGATATGAGTCGTTTAATTATGATAGATATTATAACAAATAAGATATGAGAGAAGATAATAGATTAAAATTTATAGAAAAGAATAAAGTAAAGTTAATAATGCTTGTCTATAATAATATGACATCATATTCAATATCTTATATAAAATAAAGTGTCAACAAAAACTTGATGTGTAAAGTACACAGTTAGATATTAATAATAGTTCATTATAATAACTAATATAAAAATTATTTTACTAAGTTAAAGACTAAAATGATTATTTAATCATTTATTAGTTGTATTGAAATATAGAAATAAAATTAATGATTTAATTAATATTGACCAGATAATTGGTTTTTAAACATTTAAAAAATAAATATAAGCTTATTATTTAAAATAAATTCTAATAGTTAATATTAATTATCTTAGAAAGATTAAATATTTTGTTATCACTATATGTATCATATCTATATATTTTTTCCTAATATTAGTGATTTTTTAAATAAATATTAGTAATTATTGGTGCAATAAAAGCCTATTTCAAGTGGTTGTAAGTTTGTGATTATTGAATGTTAAATGTAATTTTTTGAAAAAATATGTTTGAATAAAATGGAGCTTAATTTATTATGTAATTTTAAAACACTTTTTTTCCCTTTTTAAAAGTAGTTTTAAGACTCGTTTGAGGTGTCTCTGAATATAAAATTTAAACAAAATATGTTTCACAAAATGGAGTTGAATTGACTTTTAACTTAATCTTGAATCACTTCTACTTTAATTCTAAAAAAAAATAAATTAGTTTTTAATTGTAATTCATTCAATTCCTTTTATTCATGAAAAATAATTGTATATTATTATTGTCACCATCAACCATACTCATTCATCACTTCTATTATCCTTACTCTGGCTACAAGCTATCACTACTATTTTTATCACTATAATCATCACTGCCAATTAACTATTATTGTCATGACTATCTTCCTTTCTCCACTAACATTATCAGTTGTCACTTGTTACCATTGTTACTGCTACCATTTTAATTATATTCACCATAACTATTATTATTAATATTAATATATTATCACTACTACTATTTCATTATTAATTTATTACTAATCATCAACTATCATTGTTACTATTATTAGTTATTATCATTATTTTCAATACCATCATTATTATCATCAATCATTATTATTTCACTATCATTATCATTGTTGCCACCTTCCAACCAAATAAGTCTGAGGTTCTATGTGACATGCATATAAAACTATGTTAAAAATGAAATACAAAATGTTGAAAATGAAATTATGAAACTAAGGACTATTTTTAGTTCTTAAAAGTTTTATAACTTAAAAATAAAAACCATTTTGAATAGGTAATTATATTTTATTTGTAAAAATAAATCGTTCAGTCACTTATCAATCATCATTGACATTTTTGCTATCATCATTACCTCTAATCATCTTCAATAAATTACCTTTGTCATCATCAATGTTACTACCATTATATCAATCACTATCATCATTTTAGTCACAAAATTATTATTATTATTATTAAAATGTCTCACATCAACTAAAAATATAGTTAAAAATATAACGCTCTAATAACTTTCTTTCAATAAGTTAACTTTTTAGAGTGAGTAAGGTCTAGTTTTCTAATACAATATGAGAGCTTGATTTTAAAATACTTGAAGCATAAAATATAAATAAAAAAAAGATAAAATAATAAATTAGTAGCATCTAAAAAACTTCAAGAAAAGATGCATAAACACAAACAATACAAAATGAAAAAAAAGAAAAAAAAAACTTGTAACATATACCTAAACTTAAAAGAAAAAATACAAGTTAAAATGCAAGCCACAAAGGCCTATGAGTGTTAGATAATATAATACAATAATAACTAGAGTCTAAATTGTCAAGACACTAAGTTAAAAGTTAAAGCCACAACTTAGTTA